AAATGTTAGACATGATACAAAATAATTTATGAAAATCTTAATAAATAAAAAAACCTAGTATTCTTTATAGAGGTACGTAGATTTAGTGGAGATAATTAATGCGAATAATATTACTCTAAGATTTCAGATTTCTCATGGACTATGCTACACTTTTTAAATGAGTTCATGGACTGTATATTAAATAACATATACTTAGTATTTCATATAATAAACTACATTGATAAAGTTGATTTAAATTAATGTTGATAGCAGTACTATAAGATTTCTCATGGACTATGCTACATAATTGAAATGATTACGTGGTCTACAAACTCATTACCATCAATATTACTGAAAGATTTCTCAATGACTATGAACTTGTTACCATCAGTGGCGACAAGCACATCCATACGGGCCCTTAAAATAAACTATACTGGTATAGTTTCACACAAGCCATACAATTTAAGGACTAGGTGGTCGGATGCCTCGATCTCGCCCCCTGTATCTAGATGATCGGGTGACACATGTCTCGGGTTCAAAAGACCCGGGACCTAAGATCGCTCTCTCGGGAACCTTGTTCACAGAACAAGGGCAGGTGCCCAATTAGTGAGAGAGGCCCGATTAGTGAAAGAGGAATTTTAAACGTGAGGTGGGGACCAACCTTACCTGGGTCCGTGACTTACTCGGGCTGACTCGCGTGGGCACCCTCTTAGATCACGACGGTAAGCCCCCAGCTGCTTCAACTGGTTTGGACTCGCCTCCCCTGACCTGCAAGCTCCTTGTTTTCTACAAAGCACTAACATGGTTAATTTGCAAGACAAGTGGGCCAAGGGACCCACCCTTGTCTTGGAACATGCACGGATGTGCACATTCAGATGGCAGAGAAGATGAGAAATTAGGGTGATGAGGAAGAGGGTTTGAATAAGAGGAGAAAAGAGAAGAGGAGCTGACAAGGAGACGAGACTAGCATGATAGCTGGACAAGTACAGCGACCAACTCGGAGTGGTAGCAAGACGGGCACGGTAACTAAGACTTGCGCGACGGCAATACTACTCGAAACCAAGGCCGATGTGACCGTCCTAATCTAGTGTGGCAGCAAGATGGGCATGGTACTCTGAACCAGCACGACGGCAATACTGCTCAATAGCCAGACCGCTATGACAGTGATAGACTGAGTCTACCCTTCAGTCAAGCGAGAAGAAAAGAAAGGAGAAGAGAAGAGAGCGAAGAGAAGACGCGAGACTGAGTAGAAAGGTCCCGACGGCATTAGGCATCGTCGTACAGCCATGGAGTAACAGTGTCGTGGCCCCTGGATGTTGGACACTACTGCTCGCGGCAGAGGGACGGGCAACGAACTGTAGACGGCGTTGGCCATCGCCGTCGACGGCACGAGAAGGCAGCAATGAACCTTCGCAGGCGGCGATAGGTATCGCCGTCTACGACAGGTATGGAGCGCGAAAGAGGCCTGCGGACGGTGGAAGGCATCGCCATCTGCGAGAGACAAAGCACAGGTGGGACTCCCTGCGGGTGGCGATAGGCATCACCGTCTACAGGAGACGCGAGGCAGGGTGAGACCCCCGTGGGCGGCGATAAGTATTGCCGTCTGCGATAGGCGCGCGGCAGGGCAAGACCCCCACGGGAGGCGAAAGGTATCGTTGTCTGCGACAGGCGCGAAGCAAGGCGAGACCCTCTCGGGCAGTGATAAGTATCGCTATTTGCGACCCATAAGAGAAAAGAGAAATAGTCTGCGGTCGGCGATACACATCGTCACCGTGTGCTCCTTCAGACGGCATTACGCACAACGACGACTAACGTCATGCACGAACCATATTGAGGAAAAGAGACGAATGAAGAAAGAGAGGAAGAAGCTCGCGCATGGCGCTGCCATCGCCATGCACGACCTGCGAAACCGCAGGAGGGGGAAGAAGGAAAGAGCATGCACGGCACTGCCACTGTCGTGCATGGCCTCTAGGAAAGACCAGCAGAGAAGAAGAAGACAGACGAAGACGAAGACGAAGAAAGAGAAGAAGAAAACCCAAGAGAGAGAAGAAGGGAAGAGAGAGAAAATACCTCGAAGATAGGAGGGGTACCGCTCTAAACTTTCTCTCTCCTCTCTCTCTCCAAGACGTGCTCAAGAGAACGCAAGAAGAAAACCTTAATTTTTATTGAATCCTTGTACAATGATTTCGTGAGTCCCAAAAAGGGATCCCCTCTTCAATGAAAGGTAGCGTCTATTTATAAACTAGGGCTAAAACATGGGTGGATTACCCAAAACTAACCCTAATTGAGGATAATTACAATTTATGTGAATTTAAAAAATAAAAAAATAGGGTGCAAAATGATTGATTTGCCCCCGCCTAACAATTGAAAAAATTCCAAAACACTCCCTACTGTGAACTTGGGACGTTCTTGATTCTTCCCGGACAATCCATTCACGATCCGGCATCCGAATGAACAAAATATTATTGCCATCTTGTAGGGCTCAATGCTACGATCATTTTGATAATCATGTTAAACCATAAATCATACTTTAAAGGCATGATCACATAACTTGACATTCGAATAGATCTTGAAAACTTTTGATCGATAGTGCGTCTTCATTTCAATGTTTTTCTTCAATTTCTTCACTGAATTGCACTGAATATATTATCATGATCGCGTTGCAACAAACGGGACGCGATTTGATGCCCGAATGAAGTTTTGGCAAGCACGGACTTTGGCCGGAATTTGGGATTTCGGCTGTTAGAATCTGCAGTGACTTCAACTTGATCTTGTGCGAAATCCAACCGTTCATCACGCGTGAGGTTCGGACCAGTGACAGCCATGGACCTTACGCATGCGATGCAACTGGTCTCGCGTCGATCGAGCTTGTGGGCGCTGCGATTTGGCAGCTCGACTGCGTGGATGTCCTGCTGGAAATCTGCAACGTGCGGCTTCGAATCACGATCTTCTCTCTAGTTTTCTCCCTGCTCCGACATCGTCACGTAACGTGCCACATATCAAAACGCTCGTTTCGACAAGACGAACACGCCCCAACAAGTTTGAGCAAAATTCGATTTGGGATAAGAGAGAAATTGGCGTCGCAAGTTCCCTACTCGTGATTGTGCTTTAATGGAGTTTAGTTGCTGGGTGGCCACATGGGAATAGTGTGCGGCTCCTCCTGTTTCGGTCTTTTGCCTATAACTTCTTCCTGGAGTGTCCGTTTAAGCTAAAATTTGATCTCCGGGGGTTTTCAACCGTGCCGGATCCAATGGGAGGGTCCCACGGCCATTTGATGTTCTGAAAGTAGGGTTCCAGTTATAGGGGTTTGTTTCAGGATGTTAGAGATTGATTCTACCCAAACTGTTTCTTCGCCTGCAATGCCTTAGACATGTCAGAATGAGACAAAACTTGGCAGGTGACTTTTAAGAGACCTTATGAAGATCTTGACCAATTCTGAGGCCATTATGAGACTGTCAAAATTTCCACTGTTTATCGGGCTTTATTGACCGGCTTCTCTCTTTTATTCAGCATCGGGGACCCATGGTGCAAAAAAATGTCTTCAAACACTAGGGTTTATAGTTTATGGTTTAGCTCTAGACTCTGAGTTATGCTCATACTGCTGCACAAGACTGATTAGACATTGTGCTTAAAAAAAATATATTATATGAAATCCTAATAATCGAAACACCATATACTTAGCATTTTGTACATAAAGGTGAATTGACATAGTGGACATTAATTTACTGTTATAGTGTAATTACTATAATATTTCTCACGGACAATGTTGTATAATTGAAATTCATTCATGGATTGTATACTCATTAGCATATATTTAGTATTTTTTATGATACAGTACATTGATAAAGTAGGATTAAATTAATGTTTATAGTAGTATTATAAGATTTCTCATAGACTATGGTCCATAATTGAAATGAGTACATAGACTATAAACTCATTGCCATCAAATTATTAATAGATTTCTCATGGACTATAAACTCATTGCCATCAAATTACTAATAGATTTCTCATGGACTATGAACTTGTTACCATAAGTGGCAATGAGCACATCCATACATGCCCTTAAAATAGACTATACTAGTATGATTTCAAAAAAGCCATACAATTAGGGATTAGGGTTGAAGGTTTATGGTTTAGGGTTGTGTCATACTCGTACTGCTGCACAAGCAATATGGTACATGCTTAAACATGTTCTTAAACTAGACTATATTAATATGATACTCTGATTGCAAACAAGCAATACAATTAGGGATTAGGGTTTAAGGTTTACGATTTAGGGTTGGGTTATACTCATACTGCTACACAAGCAATATAGTACATGCTTAAACATGTTATGTTTAAATATTTGTTATGCACACAATATACTTCTTGTCATAACATATTTAGGGTCCATCTTCCTCTCTTGTTAAAAGCATTACATTCTCTTTTCATCTCCCTCAATCCCATAATACCACAAGAGAAAAGCAAAAGCCCTGTCTTCCAGGATGGCTAAAGAATCGGACCCAAGATAATAGACAATGCCGTCATGCACCCAATTTCCCTACTGATCTCTAGAATCCGGCCCCTTTTCTTAGCTAAAAAAATACTTGCTGGATCTTCACTAATGCTAACCACAGCTAGATTTGAGACGGCACTGCTGCATTTGTCTTTGTCATATTCTTTATAGCAACCTAGCTTGCATCACACGTCCAGGGCCAGGATGCTATTGAAGAACCAATAGTATGTTGAGGGAGTTAGTAAAGCAACAAGTAGGTGTCCCTTCCTCCCTCCATTCCACCTAGGAATAGTAGGAGATGCCATTTAGTCTCAATATTATTTAGACATTGGAAAAATAATAATAACAATAGAACACCATTGGCACATAATTTCCTCAAGGTACTACACTCATAATATGTAAGAATCAATAATTTACTCAGTTGAACCAAAAGAAGCCTGAGTACTTGCTAGCTTAGAACAGCCTATGATTATGGTAGAAGAAGAGCATAAGAAGTCTAGGAAAGACTCTTGGTTCACATGCTTACCTTTAGAGCCCATGTACACAAATCGGTAGTCAGAGCAGTTTATTCCTTGCACATCATTATTCTCATCGGGTACTCCATGCATCTTATAACTATCAAGATAAATGTTGAGCCAATCATCCAAGAAAAATAGTGGAGTTGTGTAAGCTACATATTCAGGATACTCCTGAAAGGCAAAAGAAACAAGATTAAGGAAACAACCTTGTGGACCAATATATTTCTAGTTCTTGGGACTCTTTAAATGCCTCAGAAAAAAGTAGCCAACTATCAAAATCAATGATTTAATCAAGGAAGAATGTTAACATCCATAGATGAAAAGCTATTCAAGCAACAGTGAACAGAGCGTTTTAGACACAGTTCTCTTCATTGAGGCATGATTTTATGCAAGGGCCTCCATACAACCCATTTTATTATCAGGTGACTCCCTAATGTAATTAAAATTTCAGATGGATGATTCCAAAGGAATATTTTTGGAGGATTTAGTAATTAGAACGATGATCATTGTGATTCTTATTGATGGAAGTCTTGTAGCAGCGAAGTAAACCCCAAGCAGACCAACATTTTACTTGGATGGGCAGAGATTTATGAGATTTATAGCCACATGGAGTGGTTTTCGGTCTGACATATGAAATCTGTTTGGAATTACAAACTAAAAGAAAGGAGAAAGGAAAACAACTAAATTTTCATTGAACCATACAATCGATGAGACATTTAAGGTAAGCCCTTCGTATTATCATCTGTATAAACATAACGCAAACCCATTCTATCTCCTGCCATGCATTCATCCCATTTGAATTTCATTAAATTCTCTCGAATCTTCTCTAAAGTTTGCCACAAATGAGATTGTTATTTCCATGTATTGTTTATTGTATAATTCACATACAAATTTTATTTACATACAAAATTTATTTATCACTTTTTAATGAACAGTCACACAATTCAGCTTTTTAGTAGTCTTTGCTAATTATCAGTGAATAGATCCTTTGCATAACAATCTGAGAATGGATCCTTACCAAATATAATTTGGAAATGGGGAAAGATAGATAACTACATCACTTGCTTGTAGATGTATTTATAACTCGGGAGCATCCAATAATTAGAAAGGGAACATAAACCTGTTTAGAGAGATACAAATTTAGGAGTCCAATCAACAACCTTCACAAAATGCCAATCCTTCAAATAAAGCAGATCTCGATCAGTTCCATCATGGACATTATTAATGTTACAACTGCTTTCATCAGAGAGCCCCTTCCATTGGCTTATGAATTCTGATACTGACATTTCAATTCTCTTCTGGTCTGTAAACTCTCTTTGCCCACAATCTGCAACCTAAAAACATTTAGAGGGTTAATATGGAGGACTAATTTAACTTACAGGCAAACAATAATTTATTTCACAGATGTTTTTTTCAGATAATTATAACCACGGGTAGTCATTTGTCAAGTGATCCCATGCTTTCACACTAGTCTACAAATGATGAATAGCCCAATAGTTGAGTACGTATAAAAGAAAATTTAGAATGTTACAAATATGATATTGATTTGCATTATAATTTAAGGTGGGTGATGGAAATTCTGAAGCTTATATCCAAACACTTGTTGTCACAAGCCAATAGTTGCAAAAACAAAACAAAAAATCTTAAAATTTGGTTGCAAATGATACTTCTCTGAAAATTTTCTTCGAAATCCTGTTTTACAAGCTGATTTTCAGAACTTGAATGAAATTTGAATAAATTTTAGACATATTTTAACCCCTTCAGGACCATGAGGAAGTAGCTAATAATTTTAGTAGAGAAAGGAGACAATGGCTATTAAATATCTGCCTACAATTGTTATGTGGCGATAACAACAACAACAACAAGAGTAGAATCATAAAACTCTGCTGAAGATCGTTTATACCCTCATTTTTCATTATCGTAGGAAGAAGATCAAGATTGACCGTTATTCTGATTCACGTTAATATCCTCTTAAAATCATAAGAAATAAAAACCTTAATAAATTCTCTATTCGTGCGACTGTATTTTGCACCAAATAACGGAAAGTGGAATTTTGCACAGGAAACTGACTTTTCTTGTTGATTTCATGTTAGAACCCCCTAAATTAGCAAACCCCCCTGATCTCTCTATTTCCATTCATGCCCTTATAAAATTTCCCCAAAAAATGGAAAACAAAATTGTTACAATCAAGAAGAAAAAGAAGAACAGGAAAGCGTACCTGAACTCTGGATTTTCCGAAATGGGTTGAGAAGAAATCAAGATTAGGCTCCCCATTCTCCCAAACCCAGTCCTTGCAAGACCTCCATTCATGCATTAAACCAGTGATAACAACTGGTTCGTTGAGCTTAAGATGCTTTTCAACGAATTCTTGGTAAGCCAATTCAGAGGCATTAAGCCTTTTCACTTGGCCTCCAATTTTCAGTGCCATCAGAAAACACACTTTTTACAGAGCTTTAAGCTTCTCTAATCTAATGGCGCGCGACTGTGTGACTGAAAAGAGGAAAAGGAAAACTTGAACAGTAGAGCCATACGAAGGGCAGAATAATGAATATATGAATACATCATCGCAAAGTTCTCAAAGGTGCCGCTTCGGGGAAACATAAAATCGCCGTATAAAGTACAATGCCGCAGAGGAAAACTCTCTCTCTCTCTCTAAATCGGTGATCCGGATCAAGTCTCTATCAGATGATCCAAATAATATTAATAAATAAATAAAAATAGAGGTTTATACGATGGATATTAAAAAGGAAAAAGTTTATGTGAGGATGCAACTTTATAATGTAGACCTATGGATGCACCTAAAAAATCCATATCGGAAAAGGTATTGGAAAACCCTTTGATCGATCGTCTTGACGTCCAGATGTATGGCCATGAAAAATAAAAAGATTTTAAGACTCAGAAATAGTGCATTTGCAACATATTATCTACACCGTCCATTTCCAAGATTTGCATATGTTTACAGATCTACTTGATTTTAACCATTTTTTAAATTTAAAATTTTATAATTAGATATAAAAATAGATTTTGAGATAATCCTAAAAACATTTTACATCAAAATTATATGCCATGATAAAATTTGAAGGTGCACCTTACCTCTACAGCTATGATGCATCCATATACCAACTGCACCCTATTGAGAAAGATCTAAAACAATATCGACAAACGTAAAAATTTAAGAAAAAAATTATAAAAGGGGGAGTTTTAAGGGGAATCGGACCGATACCTATATGATGCTATAGGTTCAAACCTGAATGATTTCTATCTGGATCAGCAATCCATATCATAAAGGGCACAGTTTGAATCTGACAATTCAGATGATTATTTGTATAATTTATTTAAGAATGGGCTCTAGGCAACAAGATAGCATCATACCACAACATGATATCTTGAGTTCCATTTTTACCACAAATACAAGACATATCCCTTCTGGACAATCAAAAAATGGCTCCTAATAGTTTTTTCCAATTTGTGACATATAAGTGATAGGATACATTTTTTGCTACGAGTATATTCTTGTCAAAAATAAATAAATAAATTTGGTATGTATAAGCCTACTCATGATTATGCCCCATATCTAAGCCTACTCATGATTCTGCCCCATATCTAAGCTATATAACAAACATTGTAAAGTGTTTAAATGGTCAGTCGATTTTTTAAAATATGGCGACTAATTCGGTATCGGTCACTATCTGATCCCGATCTGGCCTGACAAAGTACCAATGTCACACCCCAAGAATTTACAATACTGTTATTCCTGAGATGTGACAGACAAAACATATATACATCTATTGATAGGACAAATTTACAGTGGCGAGGTCTTACAAAGTAAATAAAGAAAGCTAGCACAACAACAGTATCTTCCAAGGTTGATCTTGACTAGTACTCAAAATGCATCCGCAGTTATCCTGAAAAATGTTTACCATAGTTTGATGAGTTTGGCTACTCAGTAAGTGATCATCATAATCCTAAAAATAATCATGATTGAAAGATATTAATATTTTCCAAAATGAGATCTATTAACAGAAAT